TGTTGTTGTTTTAAATGTGGTTTGGGGAGGGGGGGTTAACTCGCTGTTTTAGATTATCTCCCCCAAAACTCGGAATCTAACTACGAATGCTACGATATAGAATTTGAAGAGCCCTCCAAGTGATTACTCCACTAACAAAACGTTTCTATTAAACAGAGTGGTCTGATAAAGAAACTACCTGTAGTGTTCCCTGAAGCAGAGTTCTTTGGAAGATATGACAAATGGTGGCAGATGTGCGGCACAAGGGAAAGATGTGCTGAGAGCTGACCTCGTTTCCGCAACGTTTCATTCAAATTAAAATTCTCTTTTCGGGGGTTTTACTTAAAACCCCATTCTATCAGTTTAAGACGTGAGAATATTTGGTTTTGCCTTTGTTAACATATTTTTCCTGACAAGTTGCTTTCTTGTGTGAAAATGAGGAGCAAAAGCAAGCTAGTACATTTATATTATGACCAGAACAAGTTATCAGCGAAAGCAAGGTAGTTGTTGTTTTTTCTTTGTCTAGGTAAGTTTTACAAAATAATTGCCATATATTTTTGGAAAAATTTGTGTAAATTGAGATTCCCCCTCCTGACTTACAAACATTGTATATGGCATAGACGAAGTATGATCTATGGGAACATTTATCGGCATCAACTCCTGTTTGCTTTTCCCACAACAGTCGTAGCTCATCCATCCTGAAAACTCGGTTTCTATTTACTTATAATGCCATTTTTTCTTATATTTTACGTTAGTGCACGCTGTTGTGGTATTGATTGCTTCTTTTCTTTCTGTTGCTTATTTCTGTTGTCAGAGCGGAGAAATAATACAATATAGATTGAAATTTCGTCCAGCCTTGACAAAAAGATCAGACAATATAAGTTCAGTTCATATAAGATCACATTTCTTTGATCTCCGCAAAGAGAAATTTGCTGCGGCATGGAAAATATATACACACATCAACTCCCCCCTCCCCCATACACACACATAAACACACGCGCGCGCATACACACGCACACGCACACTCACACACACACACACACACTCACACACACGCACACACACACACACTCACACTCACACACACAAACACATACTCTCATAGACAGACGCACACGCACGAATAGTCTTTTAATGGACATAAGAAACCACGTGCCTACTTCTCTTAAAGTATTTATTTATTCACACTACCAGTTAGAATAAGTCCCCGTGTTTCTTAGTTCCTTCTCTTGGGTATAAAAAACCCTGCACATCCTACAACCAAATAATTAAACGACCACTGAGTTATTGGAGTTCAAAGTCGAACCGTTATGGCTCAGAAGATTTTTTTCATCTCTTTTGGTTATGCAGGATATAAGGTACAAACACCTACCTCATGCTTTATTGCGTACAGAGATATCAAGTTGATAGTGATAAACCAAAGACCTATATCATTAAACAGTTGAGTGAATTTTGAATGTAGTGTTGATGACAGCTTCAGATTCATATTATGACATGCTGTTCGATTATTTTTTTTTTTAAATTGGTCGGCATTTGATCAATTAGCTCATGGTTCGTGCCAAAACCGGTACTGTCTCCCCCCTCCCACCCTCTCTCTCTCTCTCTCTCTCTCTCTCTCTCTCTCTCTCTCTCGTTTCTGTCGATCCATCTCGCTTCTTGCTGCACTATATGACCGTACAGTGTCAATGTGCTTCTTTCTGTTCAAACCACAAAGGTTCGACCGTACCTTAGACTTATGCAGTTACGAGCGTCGTAAAACCTTATTAAAACCTTACTAAAACCTTACTTAAACCAACTGTACCTAAAAATTGAAATTGACGAGATAGTTGCGAGGCTTCTGTGAAGGTTTGATGATAAATTATGACAGACATCCATTGTCCACATCGACATGTCTTCGCTCTTCTGATAACACCCCCAGCGGAGTAAATTTTATAAATGAAGCAAAAAAACCCCCAAAAACCAAAAACAACAACTAATAAAAAAAACAACCAGAAAAAAACAACTATAACCCCACCCAAAAAAACCCAAACTTGTTTTGTTTGGTTAGACAGCACTCTTGCGGCCGGCGGATTATTTGACTTTTTTTAAAAATCGGTTATTTTGTAAGAGCATATCTAGTCAAATGTTCAGCCCCGTCTTTGACTGAGCTTAGGGGATGGAGAATTTACTCTCGATTCGTCAAATAATAATCATGATGGTAATAATAATGATAATAATAAAAGTAATAATAATAATAATGACAAAAAAGATATTTGATAATAATATTTAATAATAATAAAAATGAAGATCTTTTCTATAGCGCCCACTCCCGTGTAAACACAGCTCTAGGTGCTTTACATAAATGCATGTACGAACAATATTCTCGCGCGCGACACGCACACGTACACACACACACACACACACATACAAACGCACACACATACTCACACAAACACACGCACCCATTACACGCACACATGTGCACACACATGTACGCCAAACACACACACACACACTCACACACACACACACACACACACACACACACACACACACACACACA